ACAAGTAGTGGTGATTATGTTTCTCGCAACTCAAACATGCCGTCTCAACCATCATTCTTAAACATCGCGCCTCCTAACACAGGTGTATTTACTACCCAAAGCCAGGTCACTAGTAATTCTGTTTCATTTTCATCTCTTGTTCCTGTCCCTGCTTCTGTTGCTACTGCTCCCGCATCTTCAGCTTTGAATCTATCAAACTTGGTACCTACTACCAGTTCTGTTGCCATGACACCTGTAAACATGGCAGGCCAAGCTGTGGTATTTGGAAAAGTAGCTGCTGCTACCGCTACCGCAGCTACAATAGGCATTGCCATGTCACAAAATTCTTCGCAACAACCTAAAGCACAAAAACTGGGATATGGTACTGTATTCGCCAATGTTGGATCAGCTACATCTGACTTTTCTGCCCGACCAGAATCTGATACATTTGGATTAGGCCATACTGCAATCTATGGAAATATTGCTCCTGGATCTACAGGTCGTGCTGTGCAAACGACCCAGAAACCACTTAATGGGCAACATGTTACGTACGACAACACGGCGCCCGTTACTGCGACACGGGTGATTGTTTCTTCAACAGAAGCACCATATGGAACCCCTTCGCCATCTGTAGAGAAATTTGTATCTAGACCTCTACCCCAACCCCAGGCTAACATTCATGTGGCAACTTTTGGTAATGTTCCTCCCGCTGCCGCGAGTGCGGCTATCGTTGGTAGTATTTCTGAAACCCCCAGAAAGGTATATTTTATATTAATATTTTCTTTGTGCGATTTTACCCATCAAACAAAATTCCTAAATCTGTTTTTAGCCTAATGATATAGGACAATCCGTTTCATTTAACACTATTTACCCATCAGTCGCTACGATGGACACTCATCCTATTCAATCAAAAGATGTTGGACAAGCCGCCTATTTTGGAAACGTTGCTCCAATAAAATCAACCATTGCATTGAGTACTTCTCAATCTGAAACGGTAAGCATTTTCTTATGTATCTATTTTTTGCAAAAAAAAGTACCTTCATAGTGACTTTTGCCGTACATAATGAATGTATATATATATATGTACTAATTATCTCGCGTAGCCCTATGTATCTTCGAATGCTGCTTCATACAGTACCGTTCCACCGGGTATTATGCCCGTGTCGATTAAAGCATCTCCTCAGCCGCGAGATATTGGCCAACAAGTATCATATGGAAACATCAAGCCATCAACAGCGAAAATTGCGATAAATTCCTTTGCCCAACCACAAGAAATTGGCCAAGAAATTTCCTATGGGAAAGTCAATCCATCTTCCACTTCGCAAACTGTTAGCTTATCTCCTCAATCAAGAGATATCGGTCAAGCAGCTTCTTTCGGAAGCATTAATCCGTCTACAGCCACTATGGTGGTTAGTGATTCTTCCTCTCAAGCACAAGATACTGGCCGTAATACATCGTTTAACTACATTGTCCCTTCTGTGTCTGGTGTGGCTATCCAGCATTCTCCTCACTCTTATGAAAGTGAACCGAACGTGTCCTTTGGAACAACTATACCCTCTACTGAATCCGCCGAATTCAGTACTCCACAAAAGGTTGGTTATTGTCTTTTAAATCTTAATAATATGTGTCTGCATATAAACGGTTGGTTTCTAATAGAAATATGAGGTCGGCGAAAACACATCTTTTGGAAGCATTATCCCGCTAGTAGCAGTTGCGCCCGTAGATTCGTCGAACTCTCGCGGTGAAGAACACATCAACACTTACAACAATATTCAGCCTACCCCAAGTCCATCCCACTCCCAAAATATAGGTCAGTCAGCTATGTTCAGCTCTATCAAGCCTGCTCTTGCAACTATGACGATCAGTCCATCCGTATCAGGAGATCATTATCAGCGAACATCTAATGATAATAATGTTCAAGATAATTATTTATCTCAATCACATGAAGCTAGCCAGACAGCTTCTTTCGGCACAGTAAACCCTGATATTACAACTACTGAAAATAGCCCATCAATGATTTATGACGTGAGTAAAACCATTTCGATTTTATTTTACAAAATTCATAATATGTTACTTACCAATTATGCTAGTCCCACGATAATGCTCAGGAAACGACATTTGGTGCAGTCATTTCGGCTTCTACTGGCGTAGGAATAGCTGGTTTAGCTAAACCTAAAGATAAAAACAATGAGAAGAAGCGCGAAATTGTTGAAGAATCGAATGTTGAATCAGACCAATTGTCAAGAGGAAATGTCGATAAGCTTAGAAGTGCTACGGCAGATACTCAGAATAATTACCCTCGCTTACAAAAACAGGGTCTGACGACGGATAGCGCCTCAAAAGCTAAACTTGGTTATTCTTCTACCACAGACATAGAAAAAACTGCTTCTGTCGGAAATGCCTATAAACCTCAATCTGAGACCCAAGGTTCTCTAAATAAGTATAACAATGCAACCCCCACTTTGTCAGGAATAGCTGCATCATCTCTTCAACCATCATCCGGTAAATCGAGCGAGTCACATTTAGATACTCAGTCTGCAACAGTACGCCGGACCAAGGCCGGTACCGATAGTAGCGCTATGGGTGTAGCTATGGTGGTCCCAATTGTGGTTGCAGAAAATAATATTGATAGTGGCGAGAATGATGGGCTTAAAGCCCCCAGAGCTGCAAGTCAATTATCTTTAGCTCCAAATCCGGAACAAGTTGAGCCTTCCTCGGTACGGTGGACAAACTACTCTACCACAGGAGCTCTTGGAACAACAAGAATTGATCATTCAACCTTTTCAATGTACTCTGACGACTTTTCTATCTATACCCCTCCAACGGATAATATTGCACCTTTACCAAGCTCAATTTCAGAAGGGTTTGCTTCAGATCCTGATTTCATTCAATGGACAAATTCTACAGCCGATACAAATCACTCCAAACAAATCGATGAAAAGAAGATTTCCAAAAATGGGGAAAACTCCCTTCAATCATCTACTGAAGTAGGCAATGAAGAGAACGAGGGAGAAGAGAAGGAAAAGAGATCTACTGGTGTCTCGTCTTATCAAGCTGGTCTTGATCACACATCTATGGTGTGGCGCGAAGATTTGGACACGCTTTTCAGAAACTCGCAGAATTCGTATTCAGACTTCCAGGGCTTTAAAAACTCAACAGCCAACGACAGCGACAGCGATAGTAACAACGAAATTTCCAATGACAAAGAAGAAAATATTGTCTCGGCAGCTTCAGGAACAAGTGCCGATATATACATGCAAAATTCTCAGCAACCATCCAGCTATGATAGTACTCCTAAAAATACGACGACCACAAAGAAAGATCCTTTTGGAAAAATGAAGCAAGCTGAAGTTTTACCAAAAGAAAAGTTCTTTGGAGATGAAATAATGAACTCTGGTGCCTTTGAGGTCGATTCCGCCCGTACCTCTGTTCGTTGGTCAAACATTGCTGATCTTCCACCAATCAACACAAACTTTACCAGTCCATTTGAGAATCTCACTCCTAAAAGTGCAGCCAGTTTAGAATCGCCGTCATTACGATGGAAGGTTGCTCAGATAGCTTCACCTGTTGAAACTGCACATGCCCCTCTTGTGACAGAATCTTTTGCAAACATTCATAATGTTCACGAGCAGGCTGATCCTGTATACGATAGCGAAAGTGACAGTGAATTTGGTGATACTCCTTCAGCAGTTGCTAATCCCGTCAAGGCTAGAATGGTGTCAGCTGTAAACTTTATGAAGCCATTTGGAGCTGAAATTAATCCTGTCAAGGTAGATCGCTTGCCTGCCGAAGCCAATGGACGCTCATCCAGTTCCAGTCATGTACCGGCTGGTAGTCCTTTAGGGTCAGCGAGTTCAGTATCGAGTCCTATCCCAAGCTTGAGTTTAAGTTCTGGACCTCATACTGCTATGGGTGCTTTGGATGGACGGGCTGCATCGAGGCGTATGGTTGAAGAGTATTTTTCTACTCGTGAATCTATTATTCCTGCACCAGCACCGCCTCCTCCAACAGATAAGAAGACTAAACATCGCAGTGATTTCCGCAGTGTGATGGAGATGGCTATTATTAACAACAAAGATGGCGAACCTCCATCAGAAAATCACCCGCATCTGTACTACGCCAAATTTGATTTTAATGCTCGAGAAGTAGGAGAGCTTGGATTTGATAAAGGAGATCCTGTAATTGTAGTTGATGCAAGTGACGACATCTGGTGGGTTGGGTACAAAGATGGTGGTAAGTACAACAAGTAAGCAATTGATATCTTTGTGGACACTTATATATTATATTATAGGCGTTGATGGTCTTGCCCAAGGTGTGTTTCCAAGTAATTATATTGAACGCGCCGATTCTTCTGTCAACCCATACAAATAAATATTTGTATAATGTTGGGTCAAATTACGACAGCTTGTTTGACCCTGAATGGGCTTAAGAGGGGTATAATCCTATATTTAAATTAAATGTGAAATTGTTATTTATTATTTAGTTAAAAAAAAATACATACCAAGCCCCTAACACCACTGTAAAATGCTTTAAAGAAAATTCAATTTTTTAACCTTACAACTTTTACTTAGTATGTGAATTTTCTTTTAAAAAAAATACTCATAAAAAAGGTCTATTGTCTACACATCTTTGTTAAGAGAATGTATCTCTTGCTGTGAAATTTTGTCTAAACCTGGAGGGGAGGGGGTAGTTTCCTGAACTAGGAAGTGAACCGGCTTAATTATTATACTAAGCCAAGCTTTGAACCGGGCACTGAATACGCCTAGAAATGGTGTAATTAACCGGATCTAATTACTTCTTCTTCTTCGTCTTCTTTACCTATTATGAGGTACTTACTAGCCACTTCAAGTACTAGGGGTAATTGGCCAGAATCACCAAAGAAATTTAAAATTCATACTAGGATAATCAGCTATCCATCCTGGTAGCTTATCTTTATTCTAACTAGGGATATCTTGTTTTGTGATATCAATCTTTCTCAACTTCACCAAACAGTAGGCATCTTTAATTTCTTCTTTTCTTTTCTTTTCTTTTATTTATTTATTTTGGCTGTACAGAATCAATAGACTTTGTTCATCTAACCTCATCTGTACCCAAAATAATAACAATAATAACAATAAGAATAATAAGAATAATAAGAATAATACTATGGCAGACATCCACACAATCATCGGTTGCACTCTGAGTGCCTGTGGAGCGCTCAGTTTAGACGTATCTTTGACGATTTTGTATTTGTTCCCAACGGTATCGCCGCTCTATCCAACCCCCCACACTTGACGGCTTGAATCTGAACTAGCTTTAGCTCGTCTTTAGTTTTGTCAGTAGATAATTAAGTTCTTCTTCCTTCCAATAAACAATACAAATAATAATAATAATAATAATAATAATAATAATAATAATATATACAGAATCAGCAAAATAGCTAACTGACTTTTTCAAAAGTCAGCCAACTTATTTTCCCTAAAGTTAGCGAATGATTTCGGAAAATGGTGTATGGCTCTTGGGTCTTTGCTTTGATGATGAATTCTTTGTGTTCGACTGAGATGTACCCTGAGGAAGCCTGATGGTGTATTGGGACAATTGGCCGTTGATTTCGGTGGTGAATGTCAAAAGCCCGTCATCTGCAACATACTTTGGATCTCCGTTATCTTCCTTTTTGTCGTGCAACTCCGGGCACGTGGCAACTGGGCCAGGTTGGGGAATTTGTAAATTAGGAAGAGGGCTTGAGCGAGGGCTTGATTTATCCCCTTGCTGTCGTTTTTGGCGAGAAATTTTTGACGTTCGATCCTTCCGCGGTTGGTTCTGTGGTTCTTCTTGTGTCTTGGCTGGTGCCTTTCTTGGCTTTGGGTGAGATTCTACAGTCCGGCGGTGTAATTGATCGAGCTCTTGTTGCATGTAGTTCATCTGAATACGGTTTACCCTCTCAATCTGTCGTAAGCTTTTATTTTCGTCTTCAAGAGCCAAGAGTCTACCCTTCATCTTCTCCATTCCATTTTCCTTGAGTGTTTTTTCTCCAGAGGCCTTCTGGGAGTTCTTTAGCTTTTCATAGCGGGAATATATATCGTCATATTTTGTAACAATTTCCTGGTATCTTTCGAACCAAATCAAGGTCGCCTCTTCAGATATCTCCTTCTCTAACATCTCTCTCTTCTTCCTTTCATCTTCAGATGCCATCACATCTGCCCACTCCTTTGATTTAGTATGTTCTTGTGAATTTCTTTTGTTGAAATTGTCGCCATTCTCCAACTTTTCATGCTCATCTTTTGAGGTTCCGTCATCTTTCTCGAATTTTTCGCATCGAGCCTGTATGGCTTCAAGCTCCTTTTGATGACACTCGAGTTCAGTCTCCAGTTGTTGGTTACGTGAGCTCAATCGATTGAGCTCGGTCTGATTCTTGGACGCTTCTGCTTCGAGTTCAGCGATCCGATTCGTTAGAACCTTGTTTGATTCTACATGTTCCGCTGCCTTAGCCTCCAGCACAAGATTTCGCGAAACAATTTCATCTAGTTTACTCTTGTCCCCATCAATCTGAATCAAGGTCGTGCGTGCCTGATTGAGGCTAACAATCTGAGCTTCTAGTACACTAATGCGATTCAGGTGTATTCTAGTGTCAGCATGATGACTCTCCAATTCGGCATTACGCTCGCGAATCCAATCATATTGTTTCTCGAGTTCGGAATTGCGCTCCTTTACCAAGTCCATCTCAAAGATTTGGCGCTGTAATCCAATTTGCTTCATCCGGTATATATTCACTTCGTTTTCTAGATCAATCTGTTGTTTTCTCAGAATCTCGAGCTCTTGACTTGATGTGGAATCTCCATTTTCCGTCTTTGATGATCTTCGACCGGACTTTATGGCATTGGTGTGTGCCTCTAGTCGCTTTACAAGTGAAGCACCAAATTCAAACATCTCATTTTTTTGGTCCTCCCAGAACCGGCGAGCATCCATATGACTTTCAGAAGCCTTCCAAAGAATCTGACGAATATTGGACTGAACTTGGGTTTCGATTGCTTCGTCAATCCGTTGAAGTAACTGGTTCTGAAAAATTTCGTAATTTTCTGAAGTGTGCACTCCTTTAGCAAGGCTACTAAGACAAGGCAGCTATTTTGGTCGCTGATAAGATTTACTTGATCATAAACTTTAAAAAGTAATAGTTTGACTTACCATCCCTGCCTCACTGAGTTTACGTAGAGCCATGAATCTAGGACTTACAGCACTGCTGCTGTTATTCTTTGGGTCGGTATTTGTGCCTTGCGAGCGGCTGCCTGCTCTTTCGCGGCGAGTGGTATTAAAATTAGTTTTTTCAGCCACCGGCGGTCCATTTCTAGATGCTCGCCGAGATTTGAGAATCTGGGGAGGTGGACGAAGCGAGAATGGCTCGTACGTCTTTGGTAGTGTAGGCAGAGCACCGTCTATAGTCGATCTACGAGGCCTTGCCTCCTTCTCTAAAGGAGAGACATCTGCACTAGTAGCGAGTGGGGTTTTATCGTTCTTTGCACGATTTGTGGTACTCCAATTGTATTTTGCTTTGTTGGTATCATTGTTTAGGTCAACCATGGGTGAAAGAAGGGGATCGGAGATAATGGTATTTCCCGTAAGGCGTACATTGGTGATTGGAACATCTTGATCTTGTTCTAATAAAAGAAATAGCCATTTTCTTTAACCTCGTGGGTAAGCTGGGTATTATTGTAAGTACCTGATAAGGGATTTGGTTGCTTTCCGTGGCCCACACGCTGATCTACAGCTGCAGATTTGAGAAAGTGTGCCCCAGGTGAAAAGAGCTCGGTTGCTGGATAAGCGAATGCAGTATCTGGCAGTTTAATGTTCGTAGGTCTTTTTGAGTTTTTTGGTGCCTGAGATAAGCGAGGTCGGATTATTTCATTGTCATCCAACTATATATTTTTGTGTATATATATATAATAATAAAAACACAAGAAAAAGTTTGAAGACCAATTGAGTAAATAATATGAATAGGGAGTAAAATCTTGTGGCTGCAAGCATTTAACAATACCCCGCGTGCAAGGTCAAGAATTAATTCATCAACATCTTTGACATCTGAATCGTCCGAATCTTCCACATCGGTGCTGCTGGAGCTCCGTCCCAGAGAGTCATCCATCAATGGTTGAGTAATTTTTGGGATTGGTAACTTGATCAAAGGCCTGTTTTGTGTGTGCTCGGAGAGGACTACAATGGAGAATGTCTCTTGAGACTGTGCAGTAGGTCGTTTGAGAACATCCTAAAGAGCTTTAAAGTTAAGGGTAACCAACTAAATACTGAGTATTACTGTTTTTATTTACCTGTGTTTCGGGCATGTTTTTAACAGGAATCTTTTGTGATTTTTCTCCGGGGCTTAGTATGGTTCGTTTTGGAACTTGAGAAGTGGGGAATCCCTGTTGATTGAGAGTATCTTTTTGTAGAATGGCCCCCTTTGATCTTCGCCTCTGTATTTGTGGTTTTCTAGGACGTGGAGTGAGAGAATCGCTCTGACGGAAATCCGACATTGCGCGAAAGAAGAAGAGGAATGTGTTTTTTTGAAGAAAGGGTACAAATATAAGTAAGACCGGTTCAGGCCCCGGTAAGCTCAATGAAGAAGACCAAGATTTTCTCTAATTATTTTTCGTTCGTAAAAGACACTGTTTGTGTTACTATAATTGCTTTATTTAGATGAAAAGCAAAAATGAAAGTATTTGCTGTTCATGTTCCGCTTTCTACTATCTTCTTCTTTCCCGCTTGGTATTCAACCACTTGATTTCACTACCGAAAGTATTTTGCATGATTTTATCGCCACTAGCCCATATACTTAGCAGTTATGTACAAACGTTTCGAAAACCTAACATTCCTTCAGAACCTTCTCTTCATATTATACCAGAATGTATTATAAACATACCACCCCAGACTACACTTTAAGACAACGATCACATCTACCTTTACTATACTTTCTACTACAAACAAGATTATTACAGACATATAGAATAACTTGCGCTAATATATGGATGAGACCAAATGTAAACAGCTTCCGCTCAACTGCTCACATTATAGATCAATTACACCCAGTTTCCAATCCTCATTCACCCATAGACTGATCAGAATATTGGATAAATAAACATGCACCTCAATTATATTCAATTGGGTCTATTGATACATACTATACATATTTAACTTTCTTTCTGTTGTGCCTGGCTAGATGTATTTATCATTGTCACACAAGCTCAGTGATTTACTGACACTGCATAAATTGATCTCTAGCCTTTACTAACTCATCATCAATAACTTCAATCGCAATTCCAGTCAATATTTTTAATATTACTATCATTACAACTGTTGAAAGCCCTACTGCGCAGTTGGCATTTTTAATGTATTTATATTCAATGTAAAACAAGCTAATGTGTAGTGTGGACTACACTATACCTCACCCTTATTCCATCAAATAAGATCAGAAATGTGAATCAGTCACTCAACTAACAGAAACAAAGCAGGAACGACGACTGACTCTTTGTGTCTACACCACCAAAGCGCAGGATATTTTATTTTGAATTTTACTTTTCTAATTTTGCGGTCATCAATATCTTCTTCTGTACCTTGATTGACTCTACATCACTTTATATGTTAAGCCATGTATATACACAACATGGTACAATATTCCCTCGGCAATTTCAAAGCCAAATGGGGGACTAAGTGCCTTAAAATTAACGAGTGCGGATTATATATTTTCTGACGAAGATAGAGGGAGTGTCAAAGCACGCTTTGTTAGAAGTACCCCTAATAAAAAAGAAATCGGTAGCTAAGTAGTATCGGAACTTCATTGCTGATATTCTTTCTCGTTAAGGATTCAAGGCCAAAAACTATCGTGAAAGTGAAATTAACGAGAATCGTGAAAGTTTAGTCCTGTTTTTAGAATGGGGGGTCATTAGAGCCTTGAAACTATCGAGGCACCACTGTGCTCCACACAGATAGCAGTATCCAGCTCCTTAAGTGCTTTTATTATTATTTTTTGGGACTGGAGTTATTTCTTCAAAGTATCCCAAATTTTATTAATTAAATAATTGATCTCACTAATGTATGATTTTATAGTAAATTCAAAAACCGGGCCAGCAAATGTAAACTTTGTACTCCGCAACTTATATCTTCTTGAGTTCTTATTCTTTCGCGATAGTTTTAATACACTCTAGGACATCTGTTAAAGAGCTACAACATACTATGCTAGTATAGATATATATATATATATAGTATTAATAAAAAGTTATATGAAAAAAAGTGGAAATTTTCAGTGGCCCGGTTTTTTAGGTATGGGCCAAAAAATAGAGTAAAGCATTATTTCTTTACTTTCAATGCAGATCTGCTTTATGATAATTTTTATACGGAGTGTGTCTTGTCATTTCATCACAATCATGCAAACAAAATAGATATATTATATTGAATTTTTCAGAGTTTTCCTTGTTCCTTTGCTCAACTTTAAAACAAAAATGTCTCCCATCTCACGCGACAAAATACTCTCAATTGAAGTTGAACTTAGACATGGAAAGTCTACAGCCGAGGTAGCAAAGATTGTTGATGTTTCGCAGACTTCTGTCAAGAGATATCGAAGAAAATTGAACATCTCTACCTCAGTTCCTGGGGGTAGACCTGCCCAAATCGATGAAAGGTTCGCCCACCGTATCATCTATGCATTCCTAAATGAGGAATTTATGACAACAACAGAGGCAGAGAGACGGCTATGTGGTGAAGGTTTTGCTGTCAAGGCTCCAGCAATCCGCACCTTGCTAAAAGCATCTGGGTTCATCTGTACCTTGGAACCACCTCCGAAGGTAAAAACAAACCCCGCTATCCGCAAGCAGCGTATGGAGTTCGCAAGGAACTATATCAACTTCGCCGTGGAGGACTGGAAGTGTGTTGTCTTCTCAGACGAATGTAAGGTGAATCGCTTTGGCTCGGATGGAAAGAGATGGAGGTGGAAGCCGAAGAAGTCGGCAATTAAAAAATATAAGGGTAAGACTTCCCCTGTTCGTGCTGGAGGACACGTTATGGTTTGGGGATGCTTTTCGTCCAGAGGTCACGGAGAGCTTCTCAAGATCAATGAAACCATGACAAGCCCAAAATACGTAACAGTTTTGGAGCAGGGCTTACTGAAGACCTTGAAGAAGCAGAATCTCATCAAGTCCGATATCATGTTTTTGCATGATAACGCCCGGTCACACACTGCAGCCAATACCAGAAAGTGGTTGAAGGCAGAAGGGATTGAGGTCATTGATTTCCCACCGTTTTCGCCTGACCTTAATCCCATCGAAAACCTTTGGGCGTACACAAAGGGTAAACTCTACCAATATGAAGAGCCAGCCAGCTCAATGAGGGAATTGTGGTCCCGTTTCCAGAATGAGTGGGATAGTATCCCAGAGGAGATGTGCAAGAATCTAATTGAATCCATGCAAAGCAGAATGCATAAATGCATTTTGAAGAAAGGGTATCTTATTAATGAAAAATAAAAAAAGATACCTTTACCTAAAAAGCCGGGCCACTGAAAATTTCCACTTTTTTTCATATAACTTTTTATTAATACTATATATATATATATCTATACTAGCATAGTATGTTGTAGCTCTTTAACAGATGTCCTAGAGTGTATTAAAACTATCGCGAAAGAATAAGAACTCAAGAAGATATAAGTTGCGGAGTACAAATTTTACATTTGCTGGCCCGGTTTTTGAATTTACTATAATAGCGCTTTTTTATGCTTCTTAAGTAAAGAGGCTTCAGAACCTTCCCATCTGTTAATTATAATGTATACTTGCTTTTTAGATGTATACCATTATTTTGAAAAATTCCAGAAAGTAACCCATTTCTAATAACTCGATCAATTATGTTTTTTTTGATGATGTGAAAGGTACTTTCGCTTGGTAAAAGCCTTTGATCTCTATTTGCTTTTGTTGATCGGATGAAATAGAATGTAATTTTAATGAGAAAAGCGTTAAAAAGAAGTGCAATGTAGTATTGATACATTATTTTGTAAAGTATGAATTGAATCTGATGGCTATTTGTATGAACCTGTATAGAGACTGTTCCGCCAAACCTAACTTCATTTAAATGCGATGCGTATACAATATTATAACATAAGAGCAATTTGCATTACGCTACAAAATATATATCTACCAAAATTTTATGAGTACATTACACCAATTTGGCGTACTTTTATCTCTTTGGCATTATATAACAGCCATCTTTTTTTAAAATATCATAGAAGGTAGACTGGCTATTTACATTAAAACAGTTCAAGAAGTAATTACCATACTATTCTAAGAAAGAAGAATGTTTGTCCAAATTTATTTAAATATTTTGCTTTTATAAATATTTGATATTAAAGCAAAAACAAACGTAACTCATACAAAAATTGAAAACCTTGGTTCAAATAAAATAGCAATAATTGCATCTGTTGTTTAATTTCTTTTACTTAATTTCATATGCTGTATACTCATCTTCTAGCATTTATGATAATACTTCTCCCTAATGTTTCTTATATGTTTTAAACTATTATCAATTTACGTATTCAATACTCATTTACACTACCCGTTTATCTAACTTTATGAAAGCCTTTCATATTTCTATAATTGTTTTGATACCCAGAAGTTCTCGTGCAAATTCAATTGCTATATGGCGCGTCGTTTTATCTATTACTGTATTTACTTCTCTACTGTTTGTTTCAATTAGGCAGACAATTACCATTGTATATAGTATATGCATAATTATATTTATATGATGATGACAAGAATTTTTCTAATATCATTGAATTATTCAACATCTCTGGTGTATTTAAAGTGTCTAAACCCCCTGATAACCTTAATATCCCTAATAGCCCTTATAACCCTTACAGCATCTAGAATCTTCCAAGTCTTTAAAGTGCCTTAAGTTTCCAAGGTTCTCAATGCTGCTAAATTCTTTGAATTATCTGATGTTTTTGATACAGTCAAAGCTTTATTTAGCAGAAAAACAAAACTTTTATCTATTTTTTTAACTTTAAATAGCAATTTAATTTTCAATGCTTATTATATGTTTTTCTTAGTTGATGTGATTTAAGAAACAAAGTAAGATATTAGAAAATCTTTAAATTTCCATGTTGTTAAGACAATGTCATTAGATTATTTTCAAATGAAGAAATACCCTAGTCAGTTAACTACTTTGGTCACATCTTCCAAAAGTCATTGAGTCATCTCTTTTAAATATCAAGCTAATTTAAATAAGGTTTCTTGCCACTTTGCTTATTCATATTGTTCATCTCAATTGGGTACACTATTACTATTATATGGTATGTGCATGAGTAATTCATGAACTTGTTTCAAAAATATAGAGAATAAATATAAGTCGTATGCTAAGTATTCCCCTTTCTTCTTCAAGATATCGAAGATTTAACAAGAAAAAGACACCAAAGGATTATTTATTATACTTTGTATATATTAGATCATACAAATGCCTCGAATTCGGGCTCCCCTTGATCAGGTCCAATTATTTTTACATGCACTACACCGTCCTTCCCAAGCCCATGAATCTCGCCATCCAGGCACAGCTCATCGGGTTCATCTACTCGTAAGAATAACTCTGGAGTTTTGTAGTATTCAATCAGGTCTTCTTCGTCCTCAGTCACATGGCGCCCTCCCTGGAATGCTTTTATACTAGCCTCCTGGAGCTGGGCAGCTGTTACTTCACGAAACATTAATACATCCATATCTTCGCTCGAATGGGAAGCGAATGGTGTAATATTGAAACCAGGTTCTAGTGATGCTTGCTTGGAAACCAAAAAATACGTAAATTGCCTGTCGTGAACACCATCTACTAGTATAGGTTTCTCTTCTGTATTCCCAAATTTCTGGTTTGCTCTGATGTATTTTCGAGCGCCTATCATGGCCACCTGGCCCGAATAGTTTTTTAGATTTGTCAGCAAGTCCATAGCGACCATTCCAAAACGCTGGTTTCCAAGCGAAAAATCAAGTTTCCTGGCCTGGGAGACAACTTGGGCGTGGAATCCCCAGCTCATGACTACCAAGAGACGAATTGGCTGCTTATCGGTCATGTATGTTACATCCTCATACCATCTGGGAGAATCGGAAGAACAGTAACCAAAGGAAATATCCATTAGCTTAAATTTCTCGGATTTCCCTTTGATGATCTGCAATGCAGAGTGTTCAATGCTGGATAAATTAAGGCTGAGGGAGAATGCATTTCCAGATCCAGAAGGTACTACACCTAATCGGAAAGTAGGTGGTGTGTGGTTATTCTGGGAAGACTTTACACTTGTCTGCTGTAAATCGTAAGCATCTGACAACCCATTGACAACCTCATGAAGGGTGCCGTCTCCACCGAGACAAATGACGATTGTAGGTACAGTGTTTTCCAGAACCGCTTTGCCTATTTCTTTAGCAGTTTCTCGGGTTTTACCGTCTGCTTTGGTCTCAACAACAGTTATGTTGTGCTGTTTATACCCAGCAATCACAAGCATAGGTTGCACAATATCAGTCCAGTTATCAAAAGCATTACGTAGACCAGAATGGCGATTTAAGATTACTGAGATATGAGTAGACGCGATGATAGAGGACTCGGGTAAATTTTGGGCCCGAATACGGTTGACAAAGGCATCCAGTCCAAGATATTTGTAACCATCTGCGAACATTGTAGTATCCAAGGCTTCGAAGGATAAAATATGTCGCTCCCACACAGCAGCCTTGTGTTTTGAACTCGATAGCTCTTTTCGGTCCTCGTTTTGGGCGGGTTGATTAACATGGCAAATATGGATATCAAGTACAGGAGGTGTGTTTTTCAACTCAATACCGTACAAATACTTCAGATCATAACTCTCGATTTTTGTAGTATCAATTAATGTGTTCTCATAAGGGAAAACTGTGAGGATATTGTCCTTGACAGATAGAACAAGTGGAGATCCTTTTCTCTGGATAAGCGTACTAAAAGACATTGTAAAGAGCAAAAGACGAAACAAGTTTTTTTTTTTAAAAAAAAAACAGAAAAAGAAAAATTAAACTGGACTGGACTGGTATCTAAAAATGCAACGTTGGTCACCTGAGCTTAATTTCGCTTTGGAAATCACCCACTTATTGATACTCTCCGCCTTTTTTCTATTATTTTTATTTTTAATCAAGGCACGATAATTGATAAGGATTGAGGGATAATAGGCTCACGCCTTTAAATATACATCTTTATATACTGGCTTTTCAGCCAAATAAAAAGAAGGTAAGGCTTAATTTCCTATTAAGTATTGTATGTAAGAATAAGAAGAGAATTCGTACTTAATACATAAACGGAAAGCGTATAGGCAAATTGGCGTGAAATAGATACTTGTACTGTAGGTTCAAATAGATTTGTGTCTACACAAATTTCTAGTAAAATTAATTCCAAGATGTGTAAGAAGAAAAGCCAAACTTGTATTTCAGGGCTTCTATTTGATACACCAGGGGAGACACAGTTTTATTCATAATATGGCAGAAACTTGAGATTAATTTCAATCAATCAATCGGTCAATCAATCAATCAATCAAATATACTGATTGCTGATATAGACCTATACAAGACACATGGCTTGTAGATATATATATATATATATAATTGATAATAGAGCTCATAATCGAAGAAAAATAAAAATAAGAATGCAAAAGAAATAACAAAATTAGCCTTGATTTTATACGCGAATTCCAATATTTGCCTGTTTGTTTCTATTTTTTTTTAATATAAATATATATTATGTCGCTGTATGGGCGAGTGGGTGACTGCACCCGCCCAATATTTTTGGCACTGTAGATTGACAAATATTGTGTTTGGCGCATAAACTGACAAGCAATCCATTATTGTCTTACTTTTTGACATGGCATCAAGAAATTTCTTTCAACCAACCTCTGCTTTCAATGGAGGTGTAACTTCCAATCTAGGCATTAAAAACAAGAAAGATTCAAATGCTGAAATCAAACCATGGGTAGAGAAGTAGTAAGTATTTATGATCCTTACTTACAACAATAAATAACCAATCACTTAGTCGTCCCAAGAATATGAGCGAGATCGCGTCTCAAGATCAGGCAGTAAAGGTTCTCACAAAGGCTCTCACTTCAGACAATGTAATTTTTTTTGTTATTATCTTTATCATCGAGATCATCCATGCTCATTTACGCATTCTTAGCTCCCTCACTTGCTCTTCTATGGACCACCAGGAACAGGAAAGACCTCGACAATCTTGGCACTTGCGCAACAACTTTATGGGTATATAAAATACTCTTTTTATCCTCTCTATTGTTTATGTGTACTCATAAGGATTAACAGGCCTAAGCTGATTAAGTCCCGCGTACTTGAATTGAATGCCTCTGATGAGCGTGGTATTCAGATCGTTAGAGAGAAAGTAAAGAACTTCTCGCGAACAACCGTAACCCAGACCGTTAGGTAAACACAAACAAGAAAATAAATGCACAAAAATAATATATTGACGTGAATAATATTTAGTGATTTCCCTTGTCCTCCCTATAAGATTATTATTCTCGATGAAGCAGATCTTATGACCAAAGATGCCCAGTCCGCCCTGCGTCGTATTATGGAGACATACTCAAAAACCACTCGCTTCTGTATCATTTGCAACTATGTCAGTCGGTAAGACACGTATCTACACTACGTTTTTATTTATATAAGATTCTCATTATAATTGCCACAATAGGATCATTGAGCCAATTACATCCCGATGCGCTAAATTTCGGTTCAAGCCATTGCCAACTGACGATCTCGTAAACCGCATTAACATGATATGTGATAAGGAGAATGTGCAACTTGGACAAGGAGTGAGTATAACTGAAAGAGAAGCCTTGATCTAATTTATTTTATTTAGACAATGAAGGCATTAATCAAGGCATCGAGTGGCGATCTGAGAAAAGCCATCACATTCCTCCAGAGTGGATCTAATCTTCATTCCAATGAGCCAATCACACCAGGAACAATCTATGAGATGGCAGGCGTAAGCAAGGATAAAAAAAAACCATCAAGATAAATTAATTAGAATGCGTTTTTGCAGGTTGTCCCAGAAGAGACTATGAAGACTCTTTCCGATGCATGGGAGTCAAATGATCAACAAAAAGTTCTGGATGCAGTTCAATACATCATTAACAACGGTTTCTCGGCAGAGCAATTAGTGATTCAGGTAAATTAATAGTGGATAGTAAGAGAAGAGAAACTAAATATGTAATTTGATGCAGATATCTGAAGAAGTTACGAAGAACGAAAGACTTTCGACCCTTCAAAAGGCCCAAATCTCTCAAGTGTTAGGAGAAGTGGATCTTCGACTTATTCATGGTGCAGATGAGCACCTTCAACTTCTTCATTTAATGTCACAAGTCACAAGTATTGTAGCACAATAGGATTCATCATGAGCATGTACTTTTTTATTGTCTTTTATTTCTTCTTTTTTTTTTACTTTTAATATACATATGTAAAGATATACACATACGTAAATAAATAAATATATATATATATACTCTATGCTACAAACCATGGTGTCTTATTCAAACGAAGCTGTCTTTTCAGCAAACATTCTTCGAACCTCTTCTAAGCTCATTGTACCCAACATATCACCTCCGCGCGTACGCACATTTACTGTTCCAGCATCCATTTCCTTTTGTCCAACAACAAATATGTAGTTGTAACGATCCATTTGGGCTTGTCGAATCATCTTGTTCAATCTTTCGCGAGATGAAGTTTCGGCATCAATGTAGTAACGCTCTTCCGAGCCATTTCCATGTGACAAAGCATTGGCTACAGTCTTTGCATAATCTGCAAATTGAGATGAAACAGGAATGATGACACCCTGGCGAGGGCTGAGCCACAAAGGCCATTTTCCTTTTGTGTGTTCAATAAGAATAGCCATCATGCGCTCAATTGATCCAAGAATAGCACGATGAACAATAACGGGTGTCTGGGTCTGGTCGTTCTCATCAATATACTTGAGGCCAAAACGCTGAGGAAGTTGGAAATCAAGCTGAATAGTTGCCGTCTGATGAGACTTTCCGCTTGAATCCTTGATCATGATATCAATTTTTGGGCCATAAAAGGCACCATCTCCCTCCTTGATTGACCATGGACGACCGGTGGCCTCAAGAGCCTGCTTGAGTGCACCTTCGGCAGTATCCCACTCTTCAATAGTGCCAATATAACTAGACTCGGGACGTGTCGAAAGCGTCAAGTCATAGTGAGGGAACTTAAATGCACCATAGACGTAATCCACAAATTCAAGACAAGAAGTGATCTCAGAAGCAATCTGCTCGTTAGTGCAGAAAATGTGAGCATCATCCTGATGAAATCGACGAACTCTAGTCAGCCCACTAAGAGCTCCAGATGCTTCATTTCTAGATGCAAGATTAATAAATAGGTTTCATAATTATACTTTTTCTTTTGTACCTGTGTAGGGGACTAAAATCTGCCAAACGGATAGGAAGATCTCTGTACGACTTTGGGGTACTGTCAAAAATAAGACAGTGTCCAGGGCAGTTCATTGGCTTCAAGCCATATAATCCTTCGCCACCCTCCTCATGGTTGTGGTGCTGACAGCTATCTTCCTTCTCGCGGCCACTCTTAACCATAAACATGTCTTCCATATAATTCTGCCAGTGACCACTTGTTTCCCATAAATCCTTCTTGTAAATCAGCGGTGTCATGACCTCTTCATAGCCATATCGAGCATATTGCTTTCTAAGAAAATCTTGTAGTTTGTGAACAATTCGAGTACCATGGGGAAGCATAAAAATAGAGCCAGGGCTGTATTGATGAATCATAAATAGTGACTGTGCCTTGCCAATTGCACGATGATCGAGTTCATTTGTCTTGGAAACATCTATGTTTTACAATTCAATCAGTCTGTCGAGTAGTAATTGAGACTTACCATCTACTTGTTTGGTTTTTTTGGTGACACCTTCTGCACAGAGGCTATTGGTACTGTGAATACTGCGCACTGAGCTCAAGGGGTAACAAAAGGTGCCTGCAAGTAATTGTTAAGAAATGCTCGGTGGAATTATAAGGTTTCCTACGTAGAAGAGGCTTGTTTCCCACTGCTCTCCATGAGCGTATAGCCTGTCTTGCCAGCATGGTCTAATATTTTATTTGGTAGGCCGGGGATCGCGACATTGTCCTTTCCATCAAAGATTCATTTCCCTGCATTTTTGTCAGTCACGCATCAATCTGTCATTTATTCTAACATCTATTTCTTTGGGTCGTACAGCGTCCATCTCTTTTTTTTTTACTTCTTTCCTTTACAACTTTAATAATGGAAAAATCAAGTATTAAGGAAGAACAGCAGCTAGACCGTATTCTCATCAAGAACCTGGTTCTTAAGAACGTTACTGGGGTTGATTCATGGCAACGCCTCAAGTCTCAGCCTGTTGTTATCAGCGTCTGGCTGTACACTGATATTACTGCAGCTGGTGATTCCGATATTGTTACCAATTCAATCCACTATGGCCACGTAACAAAAGGGATAACTAAACTAGCTGAGACTGGTACATTCAAATCCCTCGAAGCTTTGGCCCATGCCGTCGTCCGCCTGTGTTGCGTCCACTTTGGAGCCGTCCGCACCATGGTCAAGGTTGAACAACCTAAGGCATTATTGCATGCATCCGCATCAGGTGTCATTTTGAGCCGAGCCAAGGTCGATTTCGAGGGTATCGAGGGTGAAACCCTAGGTGATGTATCTGGTTTGGGCAGAGAAGACGAGGTGTTTGTCAAAGACCTCCGCCTTCATGCCATTATTGGCGTCAACCCCTGGGAGCGCGAAGAGAAGCAAGTCGTTGTGATCAACCTCACTATCTATCCTTCACCTCTGGCCTCTAACAAGTCCGAAGAAAGCAAGTCTCACAACCTGCGAACAATTGTCCGCGTTTTGACTCGTCACATTGAATCTTCTGGCTACAAGACTGTAGAGGCCTTCGCCGTGGTTGTGGCCCGTATTGCTCTTGAAAAGTGTCATGTACGCAAAATTCGTGTGCGTATTGAGAAGCCCAGTGCCATCTTGTTTGCTGATGCATCTGGAATTGAAGTAACCCGTGACCAAGTGTGGTTGAACCGTGTGCGTGAGGAAGAGAAAAAGGCCGGTCGGGTTTTTGTCCATCGTTCTGTGGAAGATGCTGCTGCCAAGGAGATCCCCGCTTCTTACGCCCACACCGCTTTTATTGCCCTTGGATCCAATGTCGGTGATCGTGTCAACAATATTTACCAAGCCCTGGACATGCTCGAAAATAACTGTAACTCCATTGTGCTCGACACTAGTTTTCTTTATGAAACTCCTCCCATGTACTATACTGACCAGCCAGCCTTTTTGAATGGTGCATGCAAAGTTGTCACCTCTCTCGAACCCCTTGCGCTACTTTCTAAACTTAAAGAAGTAGAGAATAACTTGGGCAGAACAGCGGGTATTCGCAACGGCCCTCGTCCTATTGATCTTGACATTCTATTCTACAACGATATTCTCCTTAATACCGAAAAACTCACCATCCCCCATTTGGCCCTACATGAGCGTGAATTTGTTTTGTGGCCTCTGTGTGATATTGCCAAGGATATGGAGCATCCCAAGCTGTACAAGACATGTGGCCAGCTCTTGTCCCAGCTTCTCAAGGTCACCGCCGAAAGCGAAGAAGGAAATTTGAAAATTGACAAGGTTATCCCTATTCAGAATAAAATGTGGCGTTGGAAGGATAAGACTTATGTCATGGGTATCCTCAACACAACCCCCGACAGTTTCTCTGATGGTGGAAAGTGCGTGGATGTGGAGAAGGCTGTTGCTGCAGCCGAACGCATGAAAGAGGAGGGTGCGGACATTATCGATATTGGTGGAATGTCAACACGCCCTGGTGCTGACGATAATTTCCCAGAAGAAGAAGAGATTGCTCGCGTGGTCCCTGTCATTGAGAAGTTGAGAAAGAACGGCTTTACTCTCCCTATTTCCATCGATACATTTAGAGCATCAGTTGCTGAAGCTGCTGTCAAGGCTGGTGCATCTGTGATTAATGATATCAGTGGTGGCTCTCGCGATCCGGCAATGCTAAGTGTGATGGCAAAGTACAAGGTCCCTGTCTGTTTGATGCATATGCGTGGAGATGCCAAGACGATGATGTCCAAAGAGAACACAACTTATGAGAATGATGATGTTGTAGAAGATGTGTCTATCGAACTCTATTCTCTTATTCAGCGCGCGATTTCTGCTGGTGTCTACCGTTGGAATATTATTGCTGATCCTGGTGTAGGATTTGCCAAGACCCCCAAGCAGGACTTTGAGATTCTGCGCCATCTTGGTGAGATTGTTTCTGGACCAGATTCTCTTTTAGAGGGATTCCCGTCTCTTATGGGACCTAGCCGCAAAAAGTTCATTGGAAGTGCAACGGGTGTTCAGGAGGCAGAAAAGCGTTCTTTTGGTACTGCTGGTGCTGTAGCAGCTAGTGTGGCAGGAGGGGCTAACATCATACGTGTACATGATGTTCGACCCATGTGGGAGGTTATTCAGGTCTGTGATTCTGTCTGGAAGCGCAGTCAATGAAAGCAACCAAGTATATATCTCTTTTCTGATCTTTATTCAGCCTATTTGTAATTGTCTATTCCTTGATACATTGTATATAATTCTCAACAATTTTTATGCTTGAACAACTACTTTTTACTATTAAACGACGTTCAACACTTTTATTATTAATCAATAGTACTTTATGTACACATAGCAAAAATAAGGCTATTGACTGTTAACCATGAAAATATGCTTACAATTAAAATATATTTTTTTGTGTTTGTTATCAGCAATACCTCCTTCAAGAAATTGGCATATATTTATTTCTTTTTGCTTTCACTGCTTTATATATATCCCATATGTATTTGCGATGTAATATGGCGAATAGATAACCGGCATACATTATGAGATATAACCTTCAGTTTCGGCAATTATGAAGACCTCTGCTGAAAAGCATAAGGGTGAACCGCTCAACAGCTATCTCCAGTAAACGGGTTTTTGTCTTCTTTTAACTAGAGTACTGCCACATGTTATTTGATTATTTCAAATAATAATAATAAAAAAGGCATATTATATCGTCTTAGTCTATTAGCTTTAGTATCATTTGAATTCACGAATAAAACAATATTTGATGACACAAATGTTAAAATAATGAAACCATCTTAACTTGTCAAGCTGTCGGATATACCTACGGACATTTGGCTTTGAATAAGCATATGTAAAATCTAAAGGGAACACGGCAGATTGAGCTAATGAATACCTAAAGCAATTGGATTATTCGCTTGCTTACTCTCCATTTTCTTCTTCTTCTTTCTTTCAAGTGAGCACTAGGATATAATTAATTGATAGCTGGTAAGTATCAATATATCAATAATATATGGCTCAGTTCTTATTATCATTCTTGTTAAAAAAACATGTAAGTTTTGGTGTGATCAGCCTTAATTGCGGTTTAAATAAGCAAATAAGAACTCGAGTGGTAAAAACCAAGACTTTTCTTTATTTAAAACAAGACTGTGCCTGAACACGCTTTACATATGATGCTTTTTTTGTGATATTATAATGTAAATAAAACTCTTTACTGCTATAGACATTGTCTTTCTCTTCCTTATCATTTTTATTTTAGATGTAAAATATACGCATACCAGATAGTTTTATCTGGACAGCCACAATATATATACAAAACAAATAACACTATAATTCCTTTTAGATATATTTAATATAGGTTTCTTGCTAAATATTTACATTATTTAGGAAATATTTGGGGGGAAATACTGCAGGCTTCAGTCATGGTACTGCAATTTAGCAAAGAAATTCGGTTTCTTTATTTCTTCTTTTGTTTGGCATATTGCTCGACCATTAAGAGCATTGATTGTGTAGCCAGTATTTAGTTCAGCTACTGTAAGTATACACATTATGTCTGCAATTACAATTAACATTTTCTGCTTAATTAACCAGTATATTATAGCCGTATTCACCAATACATCTTTGATGATTAAAATGTATTAGTCATACAGAAGCAAGCGAAGAGTTTTGTAGACTTGAAAGCTTTTCACTTTAATACCATTTTATTTTTATTTTTTATTTTTAAAAAGAAAGAGTAATAGATTATATCTAGGCTGCTCCCTCTTTCTCTTTTTCTCGTGTTCATTATTCTTCTATATCTGTATATCATATATATGTATATTCTTGGCTTGTACTATTGGATGGCTATTTGAATACAATTGTGAATGTCATAAAATCGGTTTATTTATTCTTTCGGCCCAAACGAGAACTTTGACTAGAACTAAAAACCCCGTATTTTATTATATTATATTATATTATATTGTACACAACACATTAATTAACCTATATTTTCTCTTTCTCTCTCTCTTGTTTGGTTTGTGTCTTGTTTAAGATTTCATATTATCCTTTACAAAGTTTTCTCTTTCCTTCTGCTCCTAATGTCAAGCGGGCTATTCAAAAAACGTCTTACTAAAGAACTTCGGGGTAATAGATTCAACATTATGCTACGATAAGCAATCCCCTTCCAATAAACAATGAGCAGTCAACTCAAGGCACCTCAATCACTTCTTTCTTAGATCTCAGTGCCAACTCACCCGAAGGTGTGTCAATTGAAGAAGCAAATGACTTTAAGAGGTAAAAACAAATAAATAAAGTTAGATCAATCACATCTCAAGATTACGTAGCATCCATTGATATTCATTTACCATTAATCAAGGTGGCAATTACGGATAAAAGGGGCACCAAACACATTATATGAGGCAAGTAATATATGTATAACAAAGGTTTCTTTCTTCCTTTCAATAATTGATTCTAGAAATTATTAATCAATCTATTGACTACAGGGAGAAGAGTTCGATCTTGAGGTGAGAGCTTATTTACTTTAAAAAGAAGAATAAAGGCATGCATGAATAACGCAACTCTGATTAGTTCCGCTTTTCACCATCATATCCATTGGAATCTCCAGAGGTTATGTTTATCCAACCCTCAATTCCCATACATCCTCAGTAAGTATCTCGGCCTTTCTTTCTTTCTATTCTTAATTTATAGTTTGAATTGTATATTAACTTGCTATGTTTAAAGTGTAATTATTGTCATTTAGTGCACAAATGTATGCTATGTTGAGATAAATAATGCTGATATCCGAATCTAGGTTTACTCTAATGGTCACATCTGCCTTAATATTCTCTACAAAGACTGGTCTCCAGTACAGACAGTAGCTCAGGTCTGCTTATCCATCCAATCTATGCTCTCGAGTTGTGTAAAAAAGGTTTTTATCATAATTAGCTATAAACAATCTGTTTTAACCAATCCATATACTTTATTAAACAGGAATTGCCTCCTGATAACGATCTCTACGTCAAGAGCGCGCGCGCGTCGCCAAAAAAGACTACTTGGGCATTCCAGGTAAATATATTTCATTTGAATTAAACCTTTTTTTTCTTTTTCTTTTTTTTAAAAAAAAGCAAGGCTAATATAATCTTTGTTTTTGGCTGTCTTTAGTAAGAAATAAACTTCTCGGCTTCCATTTGAATGTAACCACTAAATATAATACTAAATATTGTATTATAATTCTGTAGCGATGACTCAGTCTAAAGTTTCAGGGCAGGTTCACACAAAGGGAAAACATCATATTTAACACACCCAAATGCAGATAGTAATGAACTTCTCACATACGCTGGCCACAATCGTTACTTATGAAACGCATAGGCCTTGTCAATAAAGAGAAAACTATGGCTTACAACCATTAAGAATAAATTAATTAATACTTGTTATAAGAGAGGGATTTATACTATATATTATATGTAAGATCAAATACGAATGACGAACAGAAAAAAGAAGTGTCTTTATGTGTGGCTGTCTTAAAATAATACGAATCAATGAAAACCAATAAATATCTCTTTATCTTACTTCTGAATCAAATTTCTCCAAAAAATAAGAGTCAAACTGCAACTCATAGAAATTCTATCTAAACTTTAATCAACCGAACACAGATATATCGATACTACAATGGTGGTGTCATTTTTTCATAAAGGTGTTAAAAAGGGCGGTATTTAAGTGAATAAAAAGAGTTGGGGATGGAGCAACTTCATACATTGCCACATTTGGCGAACAATAAGGTTCCATTTTAAATACAGTAGGCGTTCACATAGTTGTGGTCAACCGATTTTACCGGTTGACCGTCCTAATTTTCTTTACTGTATCAATAGACTAGAAGCTTTGCTTCCCTTCCTATCGGGAGACCTCCCTCGTCCTAAAGGCAGTTATACGTAGCGCTTCTTTACTGCTAGTACACTTTGCATAATAGCAGTATACAGACGAGAAATCTATGAATAAGTATGTTTTGAATAAAACCAATCATATCAAGCTTCATTCGTCTACAATTAACTTGAAAAAAGTTGGTGTGGACAGACTAAAAGTACAAAAAAAAGGGCAAAAAAAATGGCAAAATTAATTAAAACTCTCGCCCAATGATACGACTTAACATTCTGCTCTTTTTCTTTATACCTTTTTTTGAACTTTTAGTCTGTCCACATCAAATAACTTGGAAAAGATGGATCACAATGTGTCTCACCAGGTTACTTAAAGCCAAAAAAAAACATTGCTTATTTGATTCGATTTTTAATTTTCTATAATTGAAAAGCTATGATTCCCATTGGTGTGCATTTGCATATGCTTGTAGAAATCTTAAAAAATATCATTTCCAGTACACTCATATTTAATCGACCATAGAAAAGGTTCATTTATACAAAGGCTCCGTGCTTCAAACTAAAATAGTCTCAAGCGAACCAAAGCTAGACTATGAACCTCAAAGTAATAAGTGGAATCATACTATACAGTACTGTAGCGCATTATATTGTATTACAAAACAAAAGTTATAAATCAAAGCCTTTAATCCAACAGAGTATTATTTCTAGGTTATTCGTGCATCCAGTTGAGTTTGGTATACAAGCGCAAAATATCAAAAGCACTAGATCCTATAAATCGATAATTAGTAATCGATAGCGTCTTGCTCCCAACCAAACAAAACCTATACGTTCAGTAGCAGTAGATTGTCTCTTTGCTTTCATATTGTGCCGTCAGTCAGTCTGAGCAATAACAGAAAAAAATAGTAAATAAGCAGAGCCTTTAAAAGGTGATTTATATATATGTAATAGCCATTTTACTAGCTTGATCTATCTGTGACCAGGCTAGCACAATTGCAAGCACCACTACTTTTTCATGGTGTATAATGTAACTTATATAAATAATTATAATTATCGATAGAATGGTGTATATTTGAACACATATAAATGTAAAGTGTTTCAGGCAGTTGGGTTATGCTGTATTAATTTCTCAGTTGGATTATGATTGGTTTATAAAGTAGTACAAACCAAGGTCGATTGACAAACACTAGGCTAGACCCTGTTCTTCTTTTTACTTTTATTTTACTCTAAGAACGATGCTTTAACTTGAGGTACCAACGACTTTCAATAGTCAGGCTGTCAATCCCTTCATACTGAAGCACTGAAAGTACTTTTATTTCAAGAAAGTATTCCTACACTTTGTGTTTATTAACTCAAGACACTGGTGAAAAAGCTAGAAGAAAAATGGAAGTCTTTCACACGAAAGAAAAGAAAAGATATAAGCAGCAATTTTTTTCGGGGGTGCTTCTTAAACTAATAAAGTCACAGCATGTGAAACAAACAAACAAGAAAACAAACAAATAAATATACACAAGACTTTAATTAAAGCTTTATAATCAACACAACTTTACACTTCTTTATTGTAGTTTAACGTCTAGCCGATTAATACTTTGTATATCAGTAGTACAGCTAAAATGAACACAGAGGCATATATAGTGTCTCGACAAGTGGCTGTTCAAAAGCATAAGCCTTGTTAACAGAATCACAACAGAAAGTAGAATAAAAAAGGGGATGGGGGTCCATAGCAACTGAATAATTTGACATGCATATAGTCCACCAATCGGAAGACATCATTTAAATGTTTTCATGCTAAAGTAAAGTCTGGACCACTATTGCTACTATGCTCCTCTAAGCCCCATGACACATGTGATGCTGCACGGACAGCACGGACCTTATGTGACATAAAAAGAACTAAAACAAAAAAAGAGGCAAAAGAAAAAAACAAAAAGTAAAACAAGTGCCTGCACAGCACGTCCTTCAGAATATAAGTGATACTTCTTTAAAACCCAAAACCCATATTTTAAGCATAGATATTAAATAAAGAAGTAAAATAGTAATAATATATACATGCTGTCAAGGCTAAAAGATAAAAGAAAACCGAAAAAGGAATAAGAAAAAAACCGAATTTTATAATATATTATCAAACTATCATAATAAAAATAATAAAAAAGAACAGCAACTCATGATTGAGACGTCATGAGTTTTATAAAAAAAAAACACCTATCCAAACAGAACGCGTCAAAACAACTCTCTTCCACATACTATTAATACTTTATACTCTTCTTTACTGCTCTCTCACAAACTGCTTTAATCAACATAGACGTTAAAGACGAATCATGACCAATAAAAATCCATTTTGCTAGTCAAATCTCAGGATTTTATCATATGTAAAACAGTCAGTAGCAAGATATAAGACAATACGTCAAAACCAGTACACAGCAAAAATGAAATACTGAGGTCCAACACTGGTTTGGCCATCAATCCATCCAAAGCCTATTCACACTCAGAAACAAGAGATAAACTGACAGGACTTACTATATTTCAAGGAGTATATGATATTCATCAAAGACACACATTGTGAAGATTATATTTGTCTAGTCTTTTGACAAACAAGGTCAACGATAAAAAATAAGATCTCCATCCAGGCCTACAGGTATATAAAGGCTCGTTGATTAATCATTCACTGTCTTTGATATTTCTGTAGGGACTTTTCAGGCAAAGTCAAGCAATCAAGAACAGGTTTCCATCCAGGGCCACAGGTACACCAAGACTCGAGGAGCATATGCTCATTGTCTTTTGTATGCTTCTAGTGCCTTCCGTCCAGGTCAAGCATCAGGGATCCGATCAGAGTCCATGGTTATCAGGTATATCAAAACTCTATGAGCAGTTACTCCCTTGTTTTTGTATATTTGTAGTATCCATTCCATCCAGGTCAAGCTTCAAGGTTCAGGTCAAGGTCCACGGTTATCAAGTATATCAAAACTCTATGAGCAGTTACTCATTTGTTTTTGTATATTTGTAGTATTCATTCCATCCAGGTCAAGCTTCAAGGTTCAGGTCAAGGTCAACGGATTCAGGTCGAGGTCCACGGTTTCAGGTATATCAAAACTCGATGAGCAGGTACTCACTTGTTTTTGTATATTTCTAGTATCTGTTCCATCCAGGTCAAGCTTCAAAGCCCACGTCAAAGTCCACGGTTTCAGGTATATCAAAACTCGATGAGCAATTACTCACTTGTTTTTGTATATTTGTAGTATCTATTCCATCCAGGGCAAGCTTCAAGGTTCAGGTCAAGGTCAGCGGGTTCAGGTCGAGGTCCACGGTTTCAGGTATATCAAAACTCGATGAGCAGTTACTCACTTGTTTTTGTATATTTCTAGTATCCATTCCATCCAGGTCAAGCTTCAAGGTTCAAGTCAAGGTCCACCGTTTCAGGTATATCAAAACTCGATGGGCATTTACTCAGTTGTTTTTGTATATTTGTAGTATCCATTCCGTCCAGGTCAAGCTTCAAGGTTCAGGTCAAGGCCCACGGTTTTCAGATCAAGGTCCACGGTTTTCAGGTATATCAAAACTCGATGAGCAATTACTCACTTGTTTTTGTATATTTCTAGTATCCATTCCATCCAGGTCAAGCTTCAAGGTTCAAGTCAAGGTCCACCGTTTCAGGTATATCAAAACTCGATGGGCATTTACTCACTTGTTTTTGTATATTTGTAGTATCCATTCCATCCAGGTCAAGCATCAAGGATCCGATCAGAGTCCACGGTTATCAGGTATATCACAACTCTATGAGCAGTTACTCATTTGTTTTTGTATATTTGTAGTATCCAATCCATCCAGGAAAAGCATCAATGTTCCGATCTCCCAGCTATGGTTATAGGTATAACAATACATTATGCGCATTTACTCACTAGCTTTTATCTATTACTAGTGTCAGCCATCCAGGTCAAGTGTCAAGGACCCGATTTCCCGGCAATGGGTATAGGTATAACAAATCGTTGTGGGAATATACTCACTAGTTATAATATATTTATAGTGTTCAGCCATCGATGTCAGGCGTCAAGGTTGCGATCTTCCAGCCAAGGTTATAGGTATAACAAAACATTATGGAAATATACTCACTGGTTTTAATATGTTTTTAGCGTTCAGTCATCCAGGTCAATCAACAGGATCTGATCTCCCGTCCATGGTTATAGGTATAACAAAACGTGTTGGGAATATACTCACTAGTTTTAATATATTTATAATGTTCAGCCATCGATGTTAGGCGTCAAGGTTCCGATCTTCCAGCCATGGTTCTAGGTATATCAAAACAATATGGAAATATACTCACTGGTTTTAATATGTTTTTAGTGTTCAGTCATCCAGGTCAATCAACAGGATTCTGATCTCCCGTCCATGGTTATAGGTATAACAAAACGTTATGGCAATATACTCACTAGCTTAAATATATTTCTAGTGTTCCGCCAATCATGTCAAGCCTCCAAGTTCCAATCTCCCAACCATGGTTATAGGTATAACAAAACGTTATGCGCATTTACTCACAAGATTTTATCTATTACTAGTGTTCAGCCATCTAGGTCAAGTGTCAAGGTTCCGATTGCCCGCCCATGGTTAAAGGTATAAAAAAACATTATGGGCATATACTGACTAGTTTTTATATTTATTTGTGAACTCCAGCCATCCGTGCCAAGCGTCAAGAACCCGATCCCCCGTCCATGGTTATAGGTATAAAAACATTATGGGCAAATACTTACTAGCTTTTATCTATTTCTAGTCTCCAGTCATCAATGTGAAGCGGCAAGGACCCGATCGCCCGTCAATGGTTATAGGTAAAAAAAACCATTAGGGACATATACACACTAGCTTTTATCTATCTCTAGTCTCCAGTTATCCAGGACAAACATCACGGTTTCGATCTCCCAGCTATGGTTATAGGTATAACAATACATTATGCGCATTTACTCACTAGCTTTATTATAGTTCAAGTCTCCAGCCATCCAGGACAAGCATCAAGGTTCCGATCTACAAGCTATGGTTATAGGTATAACAGAACGTTATGCGCATTTACTCACTACAGTGGTCCCTCGATAATTTCAAGGTACTTAGTTCCCGCCTTGGCCTTGAAATTATCGAGGGACCACTGTAGCTTCTATCTAGTACTAGTGTTCAGCCATCCAGGTCAAGTGTCAAGGACCCGATCGCCCGGCCATGGGTATAGGTATAACAAAACGTTGTGGGAATATACTCACTAGTTATAATATATTTATAGTGTTCAGCCATCGATATCAGGCGTCAAGGTTGCGATCTTCCAACCAAGGTTATAGGTATAACAAAACATTGTGGAAATATACTCACTGGTCTTAATATGTTTTTAGTGTTCAGTCATCCAGGTCAATCAACAGGATTCTGATCTCCCGTCCATGGTTATAGGTATAACAAAATGTTATGGTAATATACTCACTATTTTAAATATATTTCTAGTGTTCCGCCAATCATGTCAAGCGTCCAGGTTCCCATCTCCCTGCCATGGTTATAGATGTAAAAAACATTAGGGACATATACTCACTAGCGTTAATATATGTCTAGTGTTCAGTCATCCAGGTCAAGCATCTAGGTTCTGATCGCCAATCCATGGTTAAAGGTATAAAACAACATTATGGGCGTATACTCACTGTTTTTTATCTAGTTCTAGTCTCCAGCCATCCAGGTCAAGCATCAAGGTTCTACTCGCCCGTCAATGGTGACAGGTATAACAAAATGTTATGGGCATATATTCACTAGTTTTAATATATCTCTAGTGTTGGGCCATCCAGGTCGAGCATCAAGGTTCCGATCGCCCGTCCATGGTTATAGGTATAAAAAGCGTTCTCGGCATATACTTACTAGCTTTTATCTGTTTCTAGTCTCCAGCCATCCATATCAAGCATCAAGGTTCCGATCTCCCGGTCATGGGTATAGGTATAAAAAGCATTATGGGCATATACTCATTATTTTAATCTAGTTCTAGTCTCCGGTCATCCAGGTCGAGCTTCAAGGTGCTGATCTCCCGTTATATGGTTATAGGTATAACAAAAATCGATGAGCAATCACACTCGGCTTTATTTATTTCTAGTGTTGAATCCACCAAGATCATGCTTCACGGATCCGGATTCAGTCCGTGGCTATAGGTATACAAAAACTCGATGAGCAATTACTCATTGGATTTTAATTTTTTTTAGTGTCTACTCATCCACGGCAATTATCAGGATCCGATTTTCATGAATTGTTATAGCTAACCAAGTTTCCTTTAAACCTTTACTTAAAACAAACTATACTCTTTATTTATACTTTCTTTTGATGGCAAAGAACGATGATCAAATATACATCCATTATGGAAGGTATACAAGTCGTTCTTGGCCATTACTAACCTAGAAGTATATATGACTATTTTTTTTACTCTCCAGGCCAAACAGCAAGGATCAAAACTCAAATTTGGGCTACAGGTAAACAAGTCTTCTTGAGCTTTTACTTACTGTCATTTATATATTTCTAGTGTTTTTTTCCTTAAAGTTCAAATATCAAAGATCTGATTTCAAATCAAGGTTACGGGTACACACTTTTCTCTCTGTCTTTACATGCTTTCTTTCGTATTGGCCTAGTGTGTTTACGATCCGGCTACACAATGAAAAATTTGTTTTCCTTCCAGTGCGACAGGTATATACATCTAGTTCGGCCTTTAGTTACTGTTGGCTTTATTTCTCTACTGGCTTCACAGTTCAAGCCAGCCATCATGGATCCTATATCCGTCCAGTGTTACAGGTATACACTTCTCTTTGGGATTCTACTTATCGCTTGTTTTTTTTGTCTAGTGTTTTCACCGCCCAGGTCGAAGAACAAGGATTTCTTCTTCATCCACGGTTACAGGTATACAATTCTCTTTTAGCCTTTGCATAACGCTTGTTTGATTTTTCTAATTTCATTAATGTCTATGCTAAATAATAAGCATCTACTCTCCATCTAAGGCCATAGGTTTAAAAAATATTTTTAAGTATTATTTTACTATTTATTAATTAATTAATTATTATTTTTTTAATTTTACACAGCCAAGGCCAATCGATCCAGGTTTACTGTCCTCTAGGGTAACAAGTATACGTACATACCTGATCGTTTACTTACTGCTTGTTGTTTCGAGTAATTTTTATTTATTCAAACTGAATTACCAAAGTTTTACTATCTACCTAGTGCCTGAGGTATACAGGTCTCATTTAGTACTCACGTATCACTTATTATTCTGTCTAGCTTTTTTATAGTTTAAGCCAGCAATCGGGGTTTTAATCTCCATTAAGGATTAAAGGTATACATGACTATGTGAACCTTTACTTACTAGCTATTATATTTTCTAGTCTTTTTACAGGAAAGGCCCACAATTAATATAAGTTGTCTATCCGGGGGGGACAGGTATACAAATCTGCCAAAAAATCTACTTACTATATATTTGCATAATGTTTTTACAGCCGAAGCCAGCGATCAAAGCTTTGATATTTTTTTTGGGCTCACAGGTATAAAAGTCTCTTTGACTTTTTAGGTACTATCAGTTGTTTTGTTCTAGCCCTTTCTTCTCCGTAGCAAGCGTTCAATGCTCAGCTCTACATAAAAGGTCGCAGGTATACAAGAATCTTTAAGCAATTTACTAAAAATTAGATTTTCCTAGCGTTTACATAGTCAAGGCGAAATGATCATGTTCTTTCTATCCATTCAAGGTTCTAGGTACACACTCACATTTTAGCATTTATTCTTCACTGGTTGAATCTTTTTAATCTATTACAGTCCATGCCAAGAATCAAGGTTGCACTTCAAAAAATAGGGTTAAGGTATACATGCCTTTTTAAGCATTTACTTACTACTAGTTGCTTTATTCAGACTTTATACAGTCGAGACAAAAGATCAAGAGCCCGATTTCCGCATAGATTTACAGGGATACAAGTGGCTTTCTTTACCCATTAACATATTGCTAGCTGTTTGAAGCAGTCTTTTTACAGTTCAATTCAACAGTCAAGGTTCAAACCCCCGTCAAAAATCACTGATATACTGCCACTTTTTAGTATTTACTTACTGCCAATTGTGTTTATTTAGTCTACTCGCAGAAAAGGCCAACAATCAAGATGCCACTCTCCTTCTTGGATGTTAGGTATACCAGTATCTTTGGGCATTTACCTATTACCAGCTTTAGTTTGGTAGTCTTTTCACAATTGAGGCCAACACTCAAGATTCCATAGTTCATGCAGGGTTACTGGTATATATACCTCTTTGAGCATTTGCTTGGTGTCTGCTATATTTGTCTAGTCTTTTCATAGTCAAGGCTACTAATTGAGATTCCGCTGCTCATCTGGGGTAAAAGGTATATATGCTTTTTTTTTTAATAGTTAATCATTGCTTGTTGAAATTATCTAATAATTTTACAGTCAACGCTGATGATCAAGTTTCTGCTATTCGTCGAGGTAACAGGCGTACACCCTCCTTTGAATATCTTTCTGTCATCCATCATATTTATCTAGTCATACCATAGTCCACACCAAGGTTCAAGATTTTAGTCTCCACCCAGGTTCACAGACATTCAAGTATAATTGCCCTTTTAGAACTGTCGGCTGCTATTGCCTATTGCTTTTAATATATAGGTCAAGGGATGAATTTCCTACTCTCAACCATGAGCCATAGGTATCACCGTTTATTTTGAACATTTATTTATTATCGATTACATTTGATTAGTATTTTAAATCCGAGTCCAACGATCAAGCTTCAGCTTTCCGGGAAGGGTTGAAGATATCCATGTATCTTTGATTTTTTTTAATATCGACTGAATTTCTCTGGCGTTTGCACATTTAAGTCCATTGATCAAGTCTTTGGTCATTATCAAGTTTCCACTCAACATTATTGGGTAAAGGTATATAAGATTCTTAGATTACTTTTTTACAGCCAATGTCATTTATCAAGCGTTTTTAGAGTCCTGGTCAACGATCAAGATCCTGCTATTAATTCAACGTCTTAGATATATAAGTGTATTTAAATATTACTTTACTACTGATTCTATCTATTTAATCTTTTTTTTTCTTTTTCTTTTTTACATTCTATGCTAGCCCTCACGGCTCTAGTCTCCATCAAGGCTTATAGACATACAAGGTTTTTTTTATTGGAATATATTCTTACTATCAGTTTTAATTTTTCTAGTAATTTCACAGTTCATACCAACGATTAGGCGTCCGATTTCCATCCAGGGCTACAGGCATACATCTTTATTACACCATTTACTTACAGCCTGTTTTATATGTCCAGAATCTTCACAGCTCATGTCAACAGTCACGGTTTTGACCTACATCTCCAACCATAGGTATATATATATTTCCGAGAATTTACTTACTATTAGGTGTATTTTTCTAGTGTTTTCATAGTAAAGACCAACGATTAATATTCCGACATTTTCCTACAGTCATAGACATACAAGTCTCTTTGAGCCTTTAGTTACTTTAAGCTGTATATTCCCATACTTTTTACGGCAAAGACCAGCGATCAAGGTTTCACTCTCCATAAAAATCATCAGGTATACAAAGCTCTTTAAATATTTTCTTACTATCAATTAGATTATTCTAGTGTTTACACAGTCAAAGCCAAACTATAAAGCCTCTGTTGCCCGTCCAAGTTCTCCAGTATATATATATATATATATATATTGAGCATCTACTTACTGGTTGTTGTTTTTAGTTATCTTGACATAGTCAAAACCAACGATTAAGGTTTCACCATACATCCAGGGTATGAGATACACATGTCTCGTTTAGTATTTAGCTATCAACTATTATTTTGTCTAGCTTTTTTTTTATATTTTAAGCCAACGATCAAGTTTTGAGTATTTATTCATGATCACAGGTATATATTTCTTTTTGAACATATACTTATTGTTGGCTTTCTTTTTTTAGTCTATTTATCACCAGGGCGAACGATCAATATTCCGCTGCCCATTTTGGGCTATATGTATACATGACTCTTTAAGCAGTTAATACCTGTCGCTTTTATTTGTCTAGTCTTTTAATCGCCAAGTCCAAAATTTATGGCTCTGCTCTACATCATGGGCCGTAGGTATACAAGTCTCTTTGTGAATCTATTCACTGATGGTTATAAATACTTATAATTTCACAGTTGGTGTCAAAGATCATTGTTTAACTCTTATTCATATGTTACAGGTATACATTGTTTAGTTGCCCATTTTTTCTTTGAATGATGCTTGTATTTGCTTATTTTTTTTTCTCTTCGTAGTTTAGGTCAATTATCATTGTTCTATTCTTTATTAAGGATTAAAGACATAGGAGGAGTTTTAAAATTTTCTCACTGAAAATTGTATTTACTAATTTTTTTTACAGCCGATACCAGGTATCAGTATTCTACTCTCTATTGTGGGCCACAGCTATATTTGTCTTTTTTTACTATTTCGACAGCAAAATCCAATGCTAAAAAACTCAATCTCTATTAAGGGTTACATGTATACCAGTTTCTTTGAATATATTACTGCAAATTACTTTTATATATTATTTTAAACAGACAAGCCCAACGATCAAGATTTCGGGCTCGAGTATCATATACCTGCATATGTATTTGTTTCAATAACTACTTTATGCTGTTTCTATAGGACCTTACAGTCATATTTGATGGTAAACATTAAAACTTTAGTTTTAGGTATGGATTCTAGGTATACAACAATCTTTGACCACTCAGTACTATTGTTTTATATAAGAAGTATATGTGTAGTTGAAACCAAATAATTATCATTTAAAATAACTTGAGCTGGTTAAAGATATAAAAGGCTTTTGAGAAATTCACCGACACCCATATCCTTTTTATGTATTTGATATCAAGGATCAAGTAACAAATTTATGCTCCCCGTCATTGTTTAAAGGTATACAAGTATTTTTTAATTTTTTTCTCTTATTAATGTTTTCATTTCAGTAGTGTATTTCCAATTGATTTAAAGGATCAAGTTTTTGCCTCCATTATAGACTACACGTATACAGTGCTATTTGAAAATTTAAATAACCTAATTTGTTTTTGTCTAGTACTCACTGTCAAGACAAGGATCAGGGCTCCATTTTTCCTCATAGGATAGAGATGAACAAGACTCTCTAGGCACTTACTTACTCCCTCTTTTAACTACAACTTGGCCTTACCGTACTCACATGTGTTACTTATGCGGTGACTGTAATGAATCACATAACACTGACATAACGTTATCACTGCTCCTCATCTGTCCCAATTAACAACAATAGTAGCTGGGCATACTTTAGCTTATTTTTTAGTTCCATGTGTGTTTAATTCAGCCACTAGATTATCCACTGTATTGTATATCGCAGACCTCTGGGTATATTCTCTCAGTATCCTCCTCATGCTAATATGAGCCATGAAACTGATCCCACTCAAGCTCTAGTATCTAAATCAATAGCATATTAAAAGTTGAAGGTCAGCTATGTATATGTATATGGCTACTCACCAAACTATCTTCGTCACCCTCGTTGCCACCCAGGAAATATTTCCTGAACTAGACACCTTATTCGCCATTTATTTAACCTAATAGATAATACATACGCTTAATCTACGCTACACACTAAAAGATTCGAAGCTGAATTAGCTTTAGTTGTTCTCTAGCTTCCTCATTTTTAAATACATTACCTCCAATACACATTACAAAAAATAGGATAGCTAGTTCCATTTTCCGTGCAATTTGGAATAGCTTTGTGTTGGTGTTAATAGGAGAAAAAAAAGAGTGGGATTCCGTGGTTTTTAGTGTCGATTATAGTAGTTATATGAAGTCACTGGAAACATGGAGATTCGACTGATGATTTAGTTTTATTTGACGGATGATTTAGTTTTGACTGGGGTTGCATGTACATGGAACATTTGTAGAAAAAACAAAGCAGTTTTTTTTTGTATTTGTTTAAAATAGAATGCTCTATTTTTGTATTGCGTCCCTTTCTGTCGAATTTTAGCTGTGATAGTATATAGATGAGGATCACAAAAGAGATGAGGGTTATAAAACCACCAGACATAGACTTAAAGTCTAAGTCTGCACAGGCGTTTAATATTTAGTGATCACTGGTTTATATTTTCTGCAGTGCTATGAAGAGAAAAGAGAAAAGTCACGCGCCTAGCTTTTTTACATTTTTACTAGTAAAATCTTCACAAACTTCCACTGCTTAAAGTGGTAGCAAACTCCACATACAAAAATTGTTACACATTTCCCCTTTGACTTAGACTTTCTGAACATCTTCAGCAGTGAGACACCTTTTAATTTATCTAAAGCCAAATACTACCACTTTAGCTAAAAAAATGTTACTCAGCTCAACAGTTCGATTTGTTTTATTTTAAATAAAAATTAAAGTGTACTTTTTATCTTATTAAATTGAACATAAAAGTGAAAATAAAGTGAACTGCTGAAGATACTCTAATCAAAGTTTCAGATTTTAGCATGCTTATCCTTCTACAACCTCGAATACAACTCAGTGCACATGTACTGTTTTCTTAAAGTTAATAAATTGTATCACAAAGTCCAAAAAAAAAAGAAGTTATAACCTCAGTTTAAATTAACACAAATTTATACCTTTGTGCTTTATGTAATTCAACCAAATGTTTGATTATCTTGCGTTCTAGTAATTCGTTTT